TTCGAAAATCTTCCACAATTCCACGATCGCTAAAATCATTAATAGCATAATATTTATGACATCTTTTGCTTTGACATTGAAATCCATCAAAAAATTTGTGAACATGAACATGTGTGTATGAAAAATATTGCAGAAAAAGCATCACTTTGTCTTTCATGAATAACGGAATAGTGAGAGAACTAATAGTAAATTCTGGTTTCTTTGAGGAATTACTATAATGGATCGACTGAAGATTTTGAGACAAAATGTTTGTTTATTTGTGACTATCTTGAATATGTATTTAAGGATTTAAAAGCTATCGGTTATAACGAGAATTCTGTGCTCTCTCCAAGTGTTACCTTACAAACTTTCTTAAGTCCAATCAGATGATCAATAGTTTGAATGCAACCTATTTCTGTTCACATTTTTTGCTTTGATTGTTACAACTCGAAAGTAAATGTTAACATCTTTACTAACACATCAGCTTGCAGAGTAAAGACTATCCTACGAAACTTACTGTCGAATGTTTTTTTTTTAAATTTTTTTACAGGTCACTTCAAATTTTGTTTCTCTTAAATCTTTATTCTTGACAAAAAGGCAGTTTTTTTTGTATAGAAAGAAGCTCTTCATAAAATGACTATGGGTTCATCATTCGATCCACTTTTTGGACGTGTAAAAACTTCCTTTATTATTCAATTCCTATTTCTTAGTTTTAAACATAGCGATATCCTCACCAACACCTTTAGTATACTTATAGTCACTTGAAAATTAAATTCTATGATTTATTTTTAGACAACTTGATGTCTCTTAAAACAGTATTATTAAAGGTTGTTCGACATGTTTGGATATGGCGAAATCGTGTGTTGATATTATTAATTGGATTTACAATTAGTACTTGTATATATTTAGTTTTAATAGGACATTTACATGTTTTTCAAAATAATCCTAATCAATCATTAGCACTTATTCTTCTATATACACATAATCATTCAATAAAAACACAAGATAATATATGTCGAGGTATTCGTAATGGTGATCATATTGTTCATTTTGATAAATGTCCAAAAAAATGTGAATTTTCATGTCGAATAGAAGATTTTAAACAACGTTCACCACTTGCTGTGCTCTTTTTTGGTGAAGATTTTTCTTGGCCTTTTCATTTATCCGATGAAAATCGTACGTCATTTAAACAACGATGGATATTTTGGTCATGGGAAGCCCCAATTCATCATCCGGAATATACAAAGTCTCATTTAACATTCAATTGGTATGTTCGAAGACGTGAAACGCATAAGAAGTCAAATCGATCCACTAGTAATCTTCTTGATCAACTCCATTGTATTATATATCAACTGAAAGAGTATGTTGAGAAAGCAAGATTTTCCATGAGTTCATTTTTCATCTGGTTCTTGACAGAGATCAGTGGTACATTTGTCAAGAAAAATATAAGTTTCAGAAATTATTTAAGTCATATATAAACCAACTGAGTTTCTGATCGAAATCTCGTAAATATTGATTGTAATTATACCAAATTGCATCTGAAGAATGGTGTGCTTCTGAGTGTTTTAAGCGGAAAAATATTTTTTACGTTGGAGAAAAAGATATGATTTGATAACTTTTCGAATGGATGATCAAATGAGCAATACTACAACTTTGGTTATTTCAATTTTTAATTTAAAACATCTGTTGAAAGATAAGAGCTTCAGCAGTATTTTATCTTGTCTACTGATTCTCAAATTGAATCCATTGTAAGAGAATGAATTATTAACATAACAACCAAAAATACGTTTCTTGGGTTATAACTTTTAGTTTTCAAAATTTGATCAAAACATCATGAAACTAGCATCAAAATATGAATCTTACCATACTCTTTCTATTGATATATGATGCAATGAAGTTTACTAAGAATAGTATTAATGGGTCAATTTGAGCTCTTCCATTTCAATAATTTAGGACAATGACTTATCGACAAGATTCAGATATTATTCATAGTTATGGTCGATATATATCTCGAAATTTATCATATACAATTCGTGATTATCAATCAATTGATTATTATCTATCATCATATAATAATCAATCAACATTTAATATAAAACAAGAATTTTCTTCACGAAAAAATCGAATATTATGGTTTGTATCAAATTGTAATGCTCGAACAAAACGTAATAAAATAGCTGAAAATTTAAAAAAATATTATCCTATTGATCAATATGGTAAATGTTCAAATTTAACGATGAAAGATAATTTCGAACAATTACTTTTTAATTATAAATTTTATCTAGCATTTGAAAATGCATATTGTCGTGATTATATAACTGAAAAAACATTCTATAATTCACTTGCACATGGAAGTATTCCAATTGTTCTTGGATCTGATGAAGAAAATTATAAAAATATTTTACCACCAAATTCTTTTATTCATATTGATCAATTTAAAAATTTAACACATCTTGCTAATCAACTTGATTATGTGAGTAATTATATCGATATATTTTCATTTTATCATCAATGGCGTATTAATTATCGATTATTGACATGGAAATCGAACTATTTTATTGATGATCGATTTTGTGATTTATGTATTAAATTACACGATGATTTAACACCAAAAAGTTATTTGAATTTCTCTCAATGGCTTAATCAATGTACATAACATATTTTTTTCTATTTTATTATGTATTTCGAAGTTTTAGATGAATTTTTTCTCAGTTTATTAATTATACCTAGTAACACAAATGAGTATTCTACCAAAAAAAGCAATAAAATATTTCAACTGTGTTTTCAAAACTTCAGTTAATGCAATTTTTTTTTCATAAATTATCAGCTTCTCGATACACCTGAAATCTAGCACTATCTACTGCAATATAAAAGTGAATATTTTTTTCTTCGGGTATTTACACCAGTAGTGAACTACAGTAAACAAAGCGATCGGAGAATTTTTTTTATGTGATCCACACTTGATATCGCAGTGTTATAAAGAAGAAAGCGTTGGTTGGACTTTGTTCAAACTTTATCAGAGAAATCTATGCCTCGAGATGTTACAAACGTTCTTGAACCTTCAATAAGATTCATCGTTCATCTTCAATAAGTTCTGCAACACGGCGATTTAGCTTCTATCTTTCACATGAGATAATTGAAATTGATAAGCAAATCTTCAGTCAGCTGTTGTAAGCAAAAGAGATGATGAAAACTCTCGAAACGAGAGGGTTGACTTTAGGTGAAATTGTTTATCGTTCATATATTAACTGAAACGTCATTGCTGCAAATTGGCATCGCTTTGCACTATAATTTGTACTCTTCTTCTAATGAACATCAATGATTGGGTGTGGGTGTGGGTGTCGGAATAGGATGTCGAGTATGAGTGTGTGTCGGTGTACGGTATCTGAATAATTGATCATTGTATATCTATTCGATTTTCATCGATTTCATGAAATAAAAATTGACTAAAATCGATTTGCACAAATGTAACTGATTTTAATCATTATTCTAATTCAGATATCCATTAAAACCGATTCTTGGAAATTTAATTGATTCTAGTCGATTTCAAGGTCTCCATCTCCAAAATCAATTTCAGCCTAGGTACGTGCAAATGGTACGAAATTTTCAGAATATGTTGGACCTATAGTGAAGAAGCTATAGTAAAATTTTCAGCCCTGTACCATGACTTTTGAGAGAAGTATTCACCAAACAATGGTCAAAAATAGCATCTTTGGCAAACAAAATTTCCTTGTCAAGGTTTGTATAACATATTTATTTATTGTTCTTTGAAAGAGCATGTCAAGATGCAGTGCACCCAAGAGTCCTTATTTTTAAATACTAATTTTTCAAGCGAAAAAAGGGGATCACAAGTTTAATGACTCGAAAGTTCACAAAAAATGGTTATTTTTCTATAGACATGTTTTTTTTTTTATATGGTAATAAAAAAGCTTATTTCAAAAAAGGACTCTTGAGTTCACTGCGTCTTGACATGTTACTTCAAACAAAAAAAAATATAAGTACCTCGAATGAGCCTGGACAGAGAGTTCTTGCTTGCGAGTTCAAGAAAACATAAACTAAGAAAAAACGAAAAAGATTTTCTGTTTTTTCCGAAAACAGCTGATTTTTTCAATAGGAAATGATAGAAATCTTTAAAAGTCTTCGGAAAAAAAAGAGGTGCAGAATAAGACTTTTTGTTATTGATGAAATATCAGATCATGGGCTATCTTCCCATGCACTTACCTTAATTTCGAAATTTTAAGACGAAAATTGACTTTTTTTTGAGGGAGAGAAGGTCTTCAAATTGAAAATTCGAACTAAAATCTCTTAATATTAACAAATCGATTACAACTATTTAAATGATATACGAAAATCGATTAATTAAACGAAATCGATTAATATGAAGAAATGTATTAAATCTGCTTAAATGTAGCCCAAAATCGATTAAAATTGGAAATTTAGTCGGAATATATAATATTTGATCGATTTTTATTCATTTATTGAGAAAAATCAATTTAACCTGATTTTTTTTTTTGCAGTTTTTTTTTATATGGAAAAACATGACACATTTATAAGTGATTATTCATTATCAAAAGCTATTTTTTGTTTTTGTATCTTTCTTTTTCTTTCGTTTATCATTTTTAACACATTTTTATCATTCCTTTTTTTCTTTTCGTTCTTTCTTTTGTATCAGCAATGTCTATTGTGTTGAAGAATATTTTTTTCCATCTGTTTGTGCCAATAATATAAAGTTACATCTATGAGTAATCTTTACTAAGTTGAATAATGCCAATAATATGAATCATAAGAAAGACTATTGTAATCAGTTATAGAGAAAACGACACTTTCCAATCCATGAGAGACATGCATACTAGGAAAATTCCAATAATTACTCATTTTCTTCATAGATATATAAAATAAGCAGATTCCGTAGTTATGCCCAGTATATTGTGAAGATACAAAACTATTTTAGTAAGTATAATAGAGACTTGAAAATTTTTCGTGATTTAGTGTGTACATATGTGTTTTGTCTCATTTAGAAAATGTCGCATCTTTCGGAAATTGATGTATTCAGAAAAACAATCTATGCCGAAGCAAGAGGAGAACCTCATGAAGGACAAGTCTGGGCTGCTTGGGTGATCAAGAATCGAGCTCGATTAAACAGATCTTATTGGGGTGGAAATTCAATCAAAAATGTTTGTTTAGAACCTGGTCAATTTGAATGTTGGAATGGTAGATCTGATATTCAGATTAATGAACGAGAAGCTTATGCACAAGTATGTCAAGTGGTTGATCATGTTTATAGTGAAGATTATAGTCAAGATCCAACTGGTGGATGCGATCATTACAATTGTCCAGAGAAAGAAGGTTACCCACCCTGGACTCAAAATTGTCAAAAAATACGAAAGATTGGTCAACATCAATTTTACAAAGGTTATCAATAATAGTCATCATTGAATACAATAAATTGAACTTTTCTCTTTTAAAATTATTATATATACAAAAAAAATACACAAATTTCTCTTCTTTAAAATAAACTCGAATTAAAAGTGTAAAATAAAAATTTTCACGATAGATAATTTATTATGATTTCCCGCGTAAAAAGAATTTTATCATTTATATGTTGAACTATTTCCTTTTCTGATAGAAAGGATTATACGGCGATTAAAAAATGCTTAAAGTTTGTCTGTCTGTCTGTTTAAGTCAATTCGAATTCAGCAATAAAAAATGCTGTATTTCGAATGATAGTAATTGAGGATAAAGTTTCATCGAAGCTAAACTGAGGTGAGGAATCGGAAGCCGAGGTCAATTGTTTATTATTAAATAATAATAAGTAATTTATAATCAATAATTGGCTTCTGTTTATAAACTTAACCCTCCGACACATTAGAAGACCCCCCACCCCTATAGTCGAGATGACTCTCTCTTGAATCAACAACCCAAAGGATAGATTAGAGGACCTGCTCACCTGCTTCTAAGGGGATCGTCAGAGGAGATGGGTGGGTCTTCTCATCTATCCTTCGCTTCGTTGATTCAAGGGAGGGTCATCTCTATTACAGGAGTGGGGTCTTCTAATGTGTCCGGGGGTTTTGATCAAAAGTAATGAACCATGAGGAATTCAAATATGAGGTCAGTTTTCATATTACTAGTTAGGTTAATAATTAATTAATAATTAGTCTGATTAGTTTTCTTAAAAGTTTAACCTCAAGATAATCGAGAGTGAGGAACCTGAATCCGACGTCAGTTTTTGAGTATTGATATTTAATAATCAATTAACAATTAGTATGTAATAATTTTGAAATAATGTTATCAAGAAGAGTATGGCCAAGGTAATCGAGCATGAGGAATCCGATTCGAAGGTCAGATTTAATATAACTAATTAATTATTAATTAATAAAATAATCAGTAATATTAAAATTCCAGAAAACTGTACTAAAGGTAATCGAAAGTGAAGAATTCGAATCTGAAGTCAATTTTTGACTATTAATAATTAATAAACAATAAATATCTAATATAAAATATTTTTAAAATAATGTTGTCGATAAAACTTGACCAAAGGTAATCAAGCATGGAGAATACGAATTCAAGATCAACAAACTTTCTCATTTTATTAGTTAGATGAGAATTTCGATAATTTATTTATTAAGCTTTTTTGAAGAGATAATCAAGGATGGCGAGTCCAAACTTAATGTCGGTTCTGATTTCAGCATTGTCTTTTCATTATCTGTGAGTTATCGATATTTTTTTTTACAAATGTGGTCAACGGTACTTCAATAGTGGATCACAAATCAGTTCTCAATTTTGAATTCTCCTTTATTACTACCTTGAGTGAACTTTTTTTTTCGTATGTTTGATGTGTACAGATGTCAAGGCTTATTCATAGTGCATCACTTTCTTATTCAAGAATCTCAAGAAAAGCACTTGCATCAAAAGAACTTCATTAATATGGTAATTAGAAGCACTAGATATCATTTCAAAAGTTGAACTTATTGCTAGAAAAAAATATTCGATCTGGTAAGCGATTGGAACTCGAAATTATCCTTAATACATAGGACTTTTTCTTATACGCCTGAACTGTGCAACTCTGAAGACTTGTCCATAGCGCATGATGCTAAAACTTTTTGAAAACTGCTTACTAGGCTTCGCGTTCATCAAAATAATATACTGTATAGTGTATTTTTGAAATACATGTAAGATAATATTTGTCAGGAGACTAAAAGAACAGTTGTACAATATTTGAGATGATTTTTGTGTTCGTGTATTGTGCATTATTTTTTATTCCGATATTAACTACCAATCAAAACAGAATAGCAGTGTTGCAATAAATGGAGTAGAAGCTCGTAGTAGGATCGTTTAACTTTCATTAGTAGATTTCTACAAATGATCAAAGTATTTCTTGATTTATCATATAGTCAGTCAATATCTATTTTGAACTTTTCATCTTCGGACTATATGGGAGTCATTTCACTTTTAGTAAACCATAAATGAATACATAGCTCAATCCATGACTGTCGTTGTTTGTTTTTGTGTTATCAACATTTTTTCATTGATTTTCATACTATAGAGAATTTATCTGAAAATGATCGTTTCATTCAACAGGATGAACAGTTGATTGACTGTTTCCAATCAATCGTACTTCATTTTTTTACCAATGAAATGACATCTCTTGATAGGTTGTAGTAATGTTTCTAAGTGACTACAAATGATATGTTTGTAATTGACTGTGCTTAAATAGTTTTCGCGATATCCAGCGATGTTAGTAATTTTATGTGATTTTGGGTTACTTTGAATCAAATATTTTCACTTGAATCTTTTACTGTCCAAAAACAGAAGCTTTGAAAGGAGAATTTCGGGGCTTGATGAGGGCAGACAGACGACTAATCAAAACTTGAGCATGGAACTGGCATCTTGTCGCTGTCGATCTACAAAAACCTAATTTTCCAGTATTAGGAGAAAGTAATCCCAACTTTCTATGCCTCTGTTCTCGATTACTACTCTGCTGACTGTGTCAATTCACATATGCATCATCTTTTTGTCCATAATCTCCCGTTCATCAATATAAACTCAAAAAAGAAAATTGGTAGGAGGCCTTTGAATAGGACGCTATTTGTTAGAGGGAGAATGGAGTTTGGAAAAATTAACTAAGAATAGCATGAAGAACGGAGATGAGATCCAGCTGTGAATGGCGTCATACTCTTCTTGCTTTACGTAACAGTATAGATGCTCTACTTCACATATCAACTCAGCATTAGCGGTTAGGAATTGGATGGCAGAACTTTCTCTTCCCAGAAAATTTCGGCTTTCTACTAGATTTATAATACTTTGTGTAGAGGCTTTCATAGTCATGTCTAATTTCTAACAGAGCGAACACTTGTGCAATACTAGCTGTGTCTCTTGCAGAACTCAAAACGACGACGCTCTCAGTCAAGCAAATTTTTCACAGAAAGTTGACGATTTTAGCATGTTCCCTTCGGTATTTTCCAGAGAACCGAGTCAAAGAACTTTTTGCAAAACTGTCGTCACTTTCTTGTAAGTTCTCAGCCTATTTCTTCTTCGACCGCAATCAAAAACTTTGCAACAATCATGAACCCATTTCTGTTATGAAAGATTTCCTTTACTCGAAATCCTCCGGGGACAACGAAAAGAAAGGAAATCATTGCTCAAATATAAACTCTATTATCTGTAAAATCATGATCAGGTTTTCAAGCTACGATGGTCTTCTGAAAAGTGTTTTGTGATGAAAAAATTTTAGGCATGTCTATTGATATCAACCAACGAAACGTCGATGAGGAGTTGAAGGTTTTCTTTAGTTCATTCTAATTTTGAATGACACACAACATGAACGCATTTTATTTGCTTTTGGTCAAACGCTGAAGACAACTTGTGACAAAGATCTATCTGTTTGTCCAGATTTTATACTTCTGTATTTTAACTTAATTTAGTATGTGGAACAGTGAACTAAAAAAAACTATCGCACAAACGGACTATATAGTCAGACGGAAAACTTATAACTGAAAACCAGAAAAAAAGATCCACTTGGGTACGCAAATCAATTTTGATAGAGTAACACCACGAATAATAGAGGAAAATTAGGGAATTGACGAAAAATGACTAAAGGTAACAAAAGGGAGGAAACCAAAAAGTGTAAAAAACCGAATGGCATCCTTTGCGAGCAGCATCTCGAATGTGAGAAGGTTAATTAATTTTCTTTTTTTTTGACTCTTCTTTTTCTAAGCATGTAACACAACCTCGTCAGTATCTTGATTATTATTCATGCATAGGAATGTTTCGAAATTCTACTTTCGTAAAGTTACCAAAAATTTCACATGATGCTTTATCAGCGTATCCAGATTTGGAATCAATTTAGAGTGTATCAATTTTTGCGAGTATTTTCAAGTAAGAAAAAAAGACCATTTACTAACCTGCAATGCTATGTACCAGTGGCACTATTTATGACAAATCGCTGGGCACAAAATAAATTAAGTGTCTACACACCGTTAATAGAAGAAACCAATGAAATCTTATTGCGTCTTAAATAATCTGATATATAAGAGTGCCTTTTATTTCTTTCATTATGTTTTATTTTGTGGAAGGAATAAGTATGCATCTGAAACCGTTGCAGGTAATTATTTTTGCGTGTTCTATGATCGTCTTGCAGTCAGCTTCATTGAATGATACTGCAGCAGCTACGGGTATTGAAGTAGCTAAACAGATCGGCAGTTGTTCATTGTGGGATAACTTCATAAACCCGTCCAATCCATCTATACACAATGCTAGACAGCTTCAATTTCGGTTCGATCCCGAATCACACATCAACGGTTGGTGGTATGTCAAAATGGTAGAAGACACCACAGCATCATGGGACAACAATTACCTCTGCACAAATAATGATATAGGCTTGTCATGGAGATGGAGAGTTCCTAACGGGCGTCCTTCATCCATAAAGTGTGTGACTCCTGTTAAACCTTATGATTCACAGTTAGCATGATGGCAAGACAATGCGCTCTGTCTTCCAGCAAACTTAAACATTGAGCGTGCCTGGTCACATTGTGGTTCAATCGATCATATGTCATGCGTCAGACTATATGATAGTGCTTCGCCAAGTGTCTTCCAAAACAACCACTTATGCTGGAGAGAGCATAAAGATTAAATACACTTTTCTTCCAGTTTTGTTACATTCAAATCGAAGAGGATAATAAATCTGTTTATGTACATTTATTCGTAGTATTGGTGTGAACATTCGTTTTTTAGACATATTAGTGATACATTTGTGTGTGGATGTGGCTGCGCGTTAATTAATCGAAAATAGATCTCCCTATCACTTGATAAAAAACAAGTTTAACCAGTTATTCTCAACTCTTAGTGTGTAGATGTGAGGTTTTCAATATTAGTATTTTGCTCATTGACACCCTATTTCCATCCGGTGTGTGTGTTTTAGGTGTAG